AAGCGTTTTATTTACAATGCCGTTAATGAATGGAACACTTTACCCGATGAAGTTAGGAACAGTATTAGTAGTTTTAATTTTAAAAGTCGAATTAGGAGTATTTCTTAATTTTTAATTATCATTTATTTTTTTGATTTATTTTTTTTTAACTGTTTTCTATATTTCTATTAGTACAATGGTTAAATGTTGTTATTATTTTTAATCTACTATTTCTTTAGCTTTTGCAATTTTATTTTTGCAGGGCCCCACTGAAAACCACATGTATGTGAAGTGGGCTCCCTGTTGAAAGATCTTTATTTTTATTATTATTATTATTATTATTATTATTATTATTATTATTATTATTATTACTACTACTACTATTCTGCTATTATAGAATACCAGACTCTCACCTTCTAAACAAGACTAACGAAATGTAGTGTGAAAACGAAAAAAAGACTCGAAGTACCCGCAATACATTGTATGTAAACTTTCAGTCGTTTTCCTGTCCGAAACCATTTCTTATGTCGGCTATTTTCAATACGTGGTTGCCATTTTTACTAGTTTGTTGCCACCGATGTAACTTTGGTGACACAACACTCACATATTTTAGTTTCAAGAAAAATTAGTCCCGATATCTAAAAACGCGGTAAGCTATTGAAATAAAAGCATAAGAACATATACTTACATTCGATACTCGTCAAAATGGCGGCGTCTTCTTCGAAGGCCGTTCCAAAATGTCACGGCTTTTATCGATTCCCTCTGCCAAACGTCCACAACTCTCGCACAAGGAACGTTCAAGAGCAAACGTTTGTAATGAGACTTTGAAAGTCCCGGATATTGAACGATGGAACCAAGCTTTTCTAAGACCCCATATGTTTTCGCGAATATTTTCTGCGATTTTCGCGAAACAGTAGAATCGTGACGTCAACGCTTCTTCCAAAACTGGCATATTGCCGGACTGTTTATTACGTGAATCTTGAATTATTTGTTAATACTTCTGAGGTCTCTTTACAAAAGCTTGAATGAACTTTCAGTAATCTCCTGCAGCTATATGCTGTACTTAACTTCAGAAAAGTGTTAAATATGTGACAAATAAACAATTTGACATATTCGAAGAATTTTGAAAAATTTACTATCCAGCCTTCTGAGAAACTTTCAGGATTTTTTATTCATTGCCTTAATTAATAATTTATTACTTTTTACATTTTGGTAGAAAGATAATTGTATAGCCTTACCAACAATGAGTTATACTTTTTATAAAGTTGTATAAATGAGAAAAGTAGTTGAACACAACTCATCAACGACATACTGACAAGCGGCTGTGATTACAGGAAACCATCGCAATATTATTCTCTGTCAGTTCAAAGACTTTAAGGCAATTTAGTATTCACATCTGCCAAAAATTTCGCAAGTTTGACTCTTCACGATTATTCATTATTCCTTGCCGTGTCATTTTAAATAGGAGAATATTAGCCTTAAAAGGACACAGTTATGTTTTCCATAAACTAGGGCAAATTATTGAAATTAGAGTTGGGCACAACTTGTCAGCAATGCCTTCAGGCCACACAAATA